CAAAGGACCACATCCAGGTATAATTTTTACCCCTTTCTGTGCCTCTCGACTCCAGCGGGTCAAGCCAGGGCCAGTCTCTCAATTCCTAGGAAAGACGAATACGAGGTGGGCGTCCCCTCTGGAACCTCGGGAGATCAAACACCTAACCCAACCAGCAGATAGATGGTAGATTGACACTCAGAGAAAATGTGCTGCTGGACCCATCTATATACCCCTGGGGGCCCGTATCCTCTTTCTTATCTAAGAGGCCAAATTCTACTGGTCCGTTTTGTGGTGCCAGTTCTTACAAGCAAGTTTCAAATTAATTTACACTTGCAAGAGAGATAACTAAATTGTGAGTACTAGACATTTTTTTACTGGGCGAGAGATTCCTCCCCCCGCGGATGGATGTGTGTTCGTATCAATATGGGTTTGAGTCAAGGGCACTCCTTGGCAGCCTCTTGGTCAGCAATTGGCATATCTCTGTTTACAGCCATTCATGGTCACAGCAGCCTGGGCCTTCTGCTCTGTGTGCCCTGTATGCTCCAGGCAAGCAAAAATGGATGTTACAAGGGGGGTTCCTGTCTGGCTACAATCATCTGCAAACTTAATAAGTGTACTTTCAATGCCAATATCTAAATCGTTGATGAAGATATTGAATAGAGCCAGTCCCAAAACAGACCCTTACGGAATCCCACTTGTTATACCTTTCCAGCAGGATTGAGAACCATTAATAACTACTGAGTACAGTTATCCAGCCAGTTATGTACCCACTTTATAGTATCCCCATCTAAGTTGTATTTGCCTAGTTTATTGATAAAAATATCATGCAAGACCGTATCAAATGCCTTACTAAAGTCTAGGTATACCACATCCACCACTTCTCCCTTATCCACAAGACTCATTATCCTGTCAAAGAAAGCTATCAGATTGGTTTGACATGATTTGTTCTTTACAAATCCATGCTGGCTGTTCCCTATCACTTTACCACCTTCCAGGTGTTTGCAGATGATTTCCTTAATTACTTGCACCATTATCTTCCCTGGCACAGAAGTTAAACTAATTGGTCTATAGTTGCCTGGGTTGTTCTTATTTCCCTTTTTATAGAGGGCACTGTATTTGCCCTTTTCCAGTCTTCTGGAATCTCTCCTGTCTTCCATGATTTTCCAAAGATGATAGCTAGAGGCTCAGATACCTCCTCTATCAGCATGGAATACAAGCAGCCAAGCGCTTCAAGCAGCATGTGGAAGAGTAAAACTAGCAGTGAGCTTTAACCTGACTGGCTATGCAAGTGTTCTGCCCCTTTGCTCCTATCTGTGCATAGGCCTGAGGATGCTGCACTAGCCAGGATGAAAGAGTCACTGCCCTTCCTGACAGGGTCTGTCAGAGCTTTGCCATTCTGTTTCTGACCCATTGAGCCTCGCAGGGCTGCAGGTTAACCCTTTCTTTCTGCTGCTACACCTCCAACTTCAGTGGGACAGCTAACAAATTCCTGGTCCACCCTAACTAAAGCCTGACTCTCTAATGCCTTGTTTCACATTTTCTTTCTCTGCTCTGTGCAGGAGGAAGCCTGGGCAGTGATCAGTAATGAAGTGGCAATGGGCTACAGATGAATTGTCCCAGGTCTAATAGATCGAGAAATGGACTCCACACACCTGAACTGACACAACCATCAAAGTGGGACGTAAGAAGAGAAGGTGAAAATTCACAAGCACATGCCTGCCAGCCTAATGGCTCTTCCAGTGCTTTGTGGGGAGGTGCAGCCCAGCAAATGGAAGCACAGATTTTATAGGGGTGGGGCTTGAACGGACCCTCCGGAATGGACCTGGTGTCAATTTCCTTCACTCCCTCCGGCAGGCTGGACGTGAACGCCCATAGCAAGCTGGGGAAGATGAAGATCTCAGGCTTTACCAGCTGCTCCCCCAAACACACACAGTGTCCTGCAAGAGCAGAGGGACAGTAGTTAAGATGGGGAAATGCAGGGAAGGCGGTTCCATTTGAAAAAATGAATTACAATTGGACTGAATGTGTTCTAATTCTTAAGTCCAAGCTCAACCTACTTCTCACTGGTGGAAGAAAAATACCACCTGCTTCAAGTGAAGTCAGTCAATTAGTGCATCTGGATTTATTGGGGTCTGAGGATAGACCTAGGCACATGCGGCACAGTTGGTTCTGTTCTCTGAAACATGTGACCATGTAGGAAAGATGCAGTCACTTTCCATGTAACAGCTACTCTACCATGGATTATAATAGTTATTGCCTTCTGAATTCTAAATACAACAGAATTATTTGTACTAACAAATGGGAGGGCCAATGCATATTCATTACTTTTCCAAATTAGCAAGTGAACGGACCATTAAAATCAATCTCAGAATATATCTTCCTTTATTTTGACGATTATTATTTTAGTATGAATAAGAACAAAAAAGTAGCCACACTGGGTCACACCAGCGGTCCATCTAATCCCGTATCTTGTCTTCTGACAGTGGCCAAAGACAGAGGGAATGACCAGAACAGGCCAATTATTGAGTGATCCATCTCATCTTTTGGCAATCAGAGCCTGAACCCTGGGGTTGCATACTGACCATCTTGGCAAATAGCTAATGATGGACCCATCTTCCATACATTATTTTTAATTCTATTTTTGAACCAAGTTATACTTTTGGCCTTCTCATCATCTCCTGGCAGTAAGTTCCACAGGTTAACTGCACTGTGTGATGAAGCACTCCTTTATGTTCATTTTAAACCTGCAGTGATTGCTTTCATTGCATGACCTCAGTTCTTTGTCTCATATGAAAGTGTAACTGACACTTCCCTGTTCACTTTCTCCACCCCAGTCATGATTTTATAGACCTTTATCATGCCCCGGAGTCATCTCCGTTCCCAGCTGAAAAGTCCTGGTCTTTTTAATTTCTCCTCCTATGGAAGCTATTTCATACTCCTAATCATTTTTGCGGCCCTTCTCAGCACCTTTTCCAATTCTAATGGATCTTTTTTTGAGACAGAGTGATGAGATCGGCACACAGTATTCAAGGTGTTGGTGTACCATGGAGTTATACAGCGGCATTATGATATTTTCTGTTTTATTATCTCCCTCTTTTCAAATGGTTCCTAACATTCCATTAGCTTTACTGAGTGCTGCTTCATGCGGAGCAAATGTTTTCAAAGAACTGTCCATGAGGACTCCCAAGACCTCTTTCTTGATTGGTAACATACAATTTAGAACCCATTATTTCCTGAATTTCCAATATAATGATTGCCATTAAAATATCAGTGTTTGGATTTTTAAGTAGCAAAAAGGAACCTTGCGGCATATCTTGACATTTTCATCACACCCAGGCTGCAGTTGTACATTTTGCAAAAATAACAAAGTTCTAACAATACAAGAGCCCCCTACAGCAATGAGGGGCAACTTAGGCTAGTGAATGGGCTGCGTAAGTAGCCTCCTTCATCTCTGTGGGTGGCAATATTATCATAACCAAGATGCTTGGTGGATTCGTGCTCCATCCCCACTTCTCCCCCTCCCCGCCAGAGCTGGAGCGCCACAGATCAGCTGTCCATGGCTCCTCCATGCTGGTAGGGAAGGAGAAGAGCAGGAAGTGTGGGGCTCTGGTGCCCTGGTGCGCAAGAGGCATGTGAGGGAGGGGAGCGGGAGGGAGTTTATGGGCCACAGGTAGAGCCCCTAGGGGTCACATGAAGCCCACCGGCCACAGATTGCCCACTACTGCTTTCAATTAACGACATGCTATTATGTCATTAAAAATGTTCACTGGTGCATGTTTGCTGTAAAAATACAAGTATATGATAACGCAGCAGTAAAAACATCTGCAGACAGAGGTCACTGTCGAAAATGTAGCTTAGGAAACAGAAGCTACTTTGGGGAAGAGAACAATCAGTTTCACACATACAGAATGGGAAGTGACTGTCTAGGAAAGAGCACTACAGAAAAAGAAAACCTTTCCCATTTTCTCTAAAGGAGATTCATGCCTTACTAATATACTAGAGTTCTTTGAGGGGGTCAACAAACATGTGAACAAGGGGGATCCAGTGGATATAGTGTACTTAGATTTCTAGAAAGCCTTTAACAAGGTCCCTCATCAAAGACTCTTAAGTAAAGTAAGTTGTCATAGGATAAGAGGGAAGGTACTCTCATACACTTATAACTGGTTAAAAGACAGAAAACAAAGGGTAGGAATAAATGGTCAGTTTTCCGAGTGGAGAAAGGTAACTAGTGGGATCCCCCAAGGGTCTGTCCTGGAACCAGTCCTATTCAACTTGTTTATAAATGACCTGGAGAAAGGGGTAAATGGTGAGGTGGTAAATTTTGCAGATACCAAACTATTCAAGAGCTTCAGGGGGTAGCCGAGTTAGTCTGTTACAGGAAAAAAAACAGCAAGCGAATGGTCTGGTAGCACTTTATAGACTAACAAAACATGTAGATGGGATCATGAGCTTTCGTGGGTACAGCCCACTTCTTCAGATGACCGGAGTTATGATTAGAGGACAAGGAAACTTAAAATAAATAGGAGAAGGGAAGGGGGCGAAAGAAAGATGTTCTGTCGCCCACCCCCCTACCTCTATGCATAAAGTATCAGGAGAAAGGGTGCTAAACCTGGGTGGATAAAGATCAAAGTCAATGGATGGATAAGGCAGGAAGGATACCATTCAGAAAGTAGCTAGCACCTTCATTGATAAAAGTTCCACCACCCCATATCTTGATTAAGTCCATAATTAATTGAATTGGATTTGCATATGTACTGTGATTCCAAGCTTTCCCTAAAAGCGGCGAGGAGTCCTATGGCACCTTATAGACTAACTGAAGTGTAGGAGCATAAGCTTTCGTGGGCAAAGACCCACTTCGTCAGATGCATGTCTTTGCCCACGAAAGAAAGCTTATGCTCCTACACTTCAGTTAGTCTATAAGGTGCCACAGGACTCCTCGCCGCTTTTGCAGATTCAGACTAACACAGCTACCCCTCTGATACTTGACAAGCTTTCCCTGTGGATTTGGCTCGAGGAACTGGCCAGTGACAAGACTGCCACCTTCAGATCTGTGAGATTCCGCCATCTTCAGATCTGTGAGATTATGGTTAGGTAAACAGAAATGTTCTGCCACTGGCTTCTGAGTATTTTCTTTACGTATATCCCATTTGTGTCCATTGATTCTTTCACGTAGAGAACGTCCAGTTTGACCAATATATATTGGGATATGTGAAGATATGTATATCTTTAAAGATGGGGACTAATTTAGCTACAACTACTCAAGAGAGAGAGATCTTGGAGTCATTGTGGATAGTTCTCTGCAAACCCCCACTCAATGTGCAGCTGCAGTCAAAAAAGCAAATAGAATGTTAGGAGTCATTAAAAAAGGGATAGAGAATAAGACAGAGAATATCTTATTGCCTCGATATAAAACCATGGTACGCCCACATCTTGAATACTGCATACAGGTGTGGTCCCCTCACCTCAAAAAAGTTATATTGGCATTGGAAAAGGTTCCAAAAAGGGCAACAAAAATGATTAGGCATTTGGAATGGGTAACACATGAAGAGAGATTAAAAAGACTTGGGCTTTTCTGCTTAGAAAAGAGGAGACTAAGAAGGGGTATGATAGAGGTCTAATACAATCACGACTGCTATGGAAAAAGTGAATAAGGAAAAGTTTACTTATTCTCACATAAGAACATAAGAACGGCCGTACTGGGTCAGACCAAAGGTCCATCTAGCCCAGTATCCTGTCTGCCGACAGTGGCCAGCACCAAGTGCCCCAGAGGGGGTGGATTGAAGACAATGATCAAGCGATTTGTCTCCTGCCATCCCTCTCCAGCCTCTGACAAACAGAGGCCAAGGACACCATTTTATCCCCTGGCTAATAGCCTTTTATGGACCTAACCTCCATGAAATTATCTAGCTTCTCTTTAAACTCTATTATAGTCCTAGCCTTCACAGCCTCCTCTGGCAAGGAGTTCCACAGGTTGACTACACACTGTGTGAAGAAGAACTTTCTTTTATTAGTTTTAAACCTGCTACCCAGACAGCAAGGACCTCTACAAAAGAGATCTCTCCTCTTCCTATGCTCTATACAGGCAGTCCCCAGGTTACGTTCAAGATAGGGACTGTAGGTTTGTTCTTAAGTTGAATCTGTATGTAAGTAGGAATCTGTATGTAAGTAGATCCCCACAGCGCCGCACCTCAGCGTTGCGGGGACCAACCCGGCAGCACCCCAGCTGCTCTATCCCAGGTGTCCCCAAGTCAGCCGCTGCTGAAACTGATCAGCGGCTGATTCCAGGAA